TCAGTGGAAGACGACATCGTAGGTTGGGAATGGAGGGCGACAGTCGGTCGTCGTTAGATGGGTTCCGTTCGGTAGCTCAATGGGTGGTCGAGCGTTGCGCAGCGAAGCGTTGCAAAATGAGACTCTTAATTGTTGGAACCTGCAGGGCGACGACCGCTGAGATATGCGTTGGAAGAAGCTATTCCCAGTCAAAGCAGTGTATCGATTTCTTAAGGTGGTAAAAAGTGATTGATTTTTCATGCTGTTGATGGGCATGGGAGAGGACTAAGTATGTAAGGAAGAGGGGTTGCAGTGCTGGCACCAATCAACCACCGAGGTCCGTTGAATGCAGCCATCAAGGCAGCTTCGTTCCGACAGGTAACCCACTGCTTCTACATTGGGTCATTTGTTGCCCAAATTTCGTCACTGAAAAGCTTATCCTCCCAGTTCTCGGGGTTTGGCCATAATCGAAGGCACTGCCTTGCAAAGGCTACTCTCGTCCGTTTATTACTTTCGGTACGTCGAATCCTGCGAGGCCGCTTGCGTTGCTTCCAGCCGAGTGCCCGTAAAGCGCCAAAGAGAGCTGTCTCGCCGTAGGAAGAGAGCGGGTAAGGGAGAAGAAAGCGGATATCTGACCAAGGAAGGAACCGAAACTCTGGATCAGCAAGGTGCTCCTGAATCCAGTCCTTTAACTGTTGCCGTTGCGGTGTTCGGACCCGAGGCTTCCGAGGCTTGCATTTTTGAGGAGTAAGTGGCTGTGTACAAGCAGTTTGGATCTGCCGATATGTATAAGGCGTAATCCGGAAAATGTCTTCGTAACTGAGATGGGCAAACTCGCGTAAATCTCGGATTCCAACTCTCTGATCACGAGTGAGATTGGTAAATTTGGGCCGCTTTCGTGTGGATGGATTGAGTAAGTCCGCTATCCGCTATTGCAAGGCCTCGGCTAGCCATCGTCATCATTCCTGTAGATTTAAAGATAAGTATTCTCCCATGGAAGTTGCTAGAAAAGTGACTTTAGTAATAAATTACAGCGGATGTGAGGGGTTTCGCTAGACCCTTGTCAACCACCTTGCCAATTCACTGCGCTAGCAAAACTAACCCCGGCGGAGGTGTAGAAATCCATTGTCGCCAACGTTGGCGAGAATGGCGCGCGAGGACGAGGATGGGCACCAGGCCCACATATACATTGCACGACGCCCCACAACCTAAAAAATTAGCGCAAGCCACAGAAGGTATCGTCTCCTCGTCCTCGTCCTCGTCCTCGTCCTCGTCCTCGCGCGAGCCGATCAGGCCCTGATCAGCGGGCTTGACAAACACTGTTACAAAAGGCCAATTTCATGATAGCCATTTTTCGCCGTGCCCGCGCTGTGATGGCTTCTGCTGCGCAATTCCTGAAGACGCGAGTCCCGACTCACAATACGTTGCAAGTTTGCAACAGCCCTGACAGCCAAGCCCACTAGCCTCGGCCACAGCTTTGTACTCTTAGCGCTATAACATCACATCACAGCGGCGAGCCGATCTAGCCCTTGACGCGCGTTGATGGCCTCGACCAACAGCCTCTGCGCGACGCTAATTAGACCTTCCATCCAGGGTGGGAACACCATCGGATCGCGTGGCGGCATAGCCGGTTTGACCTTTTTTTCAGGGGAACCAACGTCTCTCGGACTTTAGCCGACGGTTCAGGGGGCGGCAGTGGTCGGCTTCGCGGCTCCGGCGAGTTCAGCGCGTCGCGGGTAGGTGTCTTCGGTGTTCGCGTTTGTCGCCATCTTGGGGACTGCAGGGACGCGGCGGCCCCGTGCGGGTGCCTTCCTCGATTCGAGGTTCGACTCAACTCTCAGAACACTGGAACTAGAAGTTAGTTCGGCGTTCGACAAAAGCCAGGCCACTGGCACTCCGTCTCCAATACCAGCTACAATTGCCTCTACCGAGATTACACTTGCCGTGCACCCTCTTCTTTCTACTTTCCTCTTGCTCAGTCAAGGCTCACACTAACTCGATTATCTGAGTTACGGCTCAACATTACTCCATCCATCCATCCATCCGAGTCCAGGAACAGGCTGCAACCTCCTCCCGTACCTACCTTGAGCTACATGTAGCTGCATGGGACGACCAGGGCGCTGCCAGGACCTGGGACAATCATGGAGATGACTAGGGCTTCTCATCCATGCTCATGCCGAATAAAAAACATCTTGCACTCGTGGCGGGGACCCTTTCATGTTGCTTCCCCCTTTCCCCTTCCCCCCACCCAGACAAATGAGGTCCCCATCGTTTCTCCGGATCAGGCACACTAGACATAGTAGGTGTTAGCGAAGCTGTGCCGCAGAGACACTTGGTCGGTCCACCCGCGCTGCATAAGGTAGCTACAGTATCACAGTAGTCAGGGGCAGAAGGAACATGTAGATCACCCGACTGGATCTCTCCTCGAGTATCTCGGATTTGTGACCAACGAGCATCAATAGCGGCCGCGTCTCCGTCCCCGGCTCGAGGTGGAGTCTGGTCTGTTCGAGTCCCTGCATGTGATAGCAAACGCTGACGGTGCGTGAAGATTTACCGTCCGGGGCAAGCTTGCTCCTATGATACTACCTAGATAGATAAGGCTTGAACCTTGACGGCGTTGCAGTCGAAGGAAGTAGCGATATTGGCCCTTCGCTCGAGAGCGGGTATCGTGAGGGGACTATGCCGCGCGAGGAAATATTCCCCCAACACTCGAACCTTGCGTCTAGTTGTACCTATTTTTATCGTGTCGTGCCCGACGCCATCCGCGGGATTCAAGAACGGTGCTCGGGGGTCAAGAAAATAGCGTGATTCAACCTTGTTGGAGTGAAAGGCCGAGATGCTGTTATATAAGGTAGGCCGGGCATCTGTCCTCAGTTGTGCTTCCGTACCTAGTTGTCCGCATCACTCGTTCTCTCTGCCAAACCCGACTTCACCATGAAGGCTCTCGGCCTCCTCACCGTGTTAGCAACCCTGCTAGCACGATGCTGCGTGCAAGCCCAGGCTGTCTTTGCCCACTTCATGGTGGGAAACACAGCCAATTTCACCGTCACGGACTGGGAAACGAACATGGCCCTGGCCATCGAAGCCCATATCGTATGTTGCTGACGTGGCCCTCGTTGTGCGGAAGCGCTGGAAACTGATGCCATGTCCTGCAGGATGCCTTCGCGTTGAACATGGCCTCTGGCTGGTACAAGAACCACGACGCTTTGGCCCTGGCCTTCCAGGCGGCCCAAAGTAAGAACTTCAAGCTGTTCTTCTCGTTTGACTACGCTGGCAACGGCCCCTGGTCGCTGGAGGAGGTCCGCGACTTGATCCTCTCGTACGGCGGCTCTGTAGCCTACTACCAGTACAACAGCCTCCCGCTCGTGTCCACCTTTGAGGGCCCCGGCAATGCAGATGACTGGATCACCATCAAGCAACAGGCACCGTGCTTCTTCATACCGGACTGGTCATCACTCGGAGCGAGGCCGGCCCTCGCGGCTGGAGGCGGTGTCGCCGACGGCTTGTTCAGTGAGTCCAAGACGATCTCGGCGAGAAAAACACCTGCCCAAGTCCCTAACACGCGTTGATCACAGGCTGGGCCGCTTGGCCATACGGCAAAGACAACATGACGACCTACGTTGACGCTTCCTATATTCAGGCACTGAACGGGAAGCCGTACATGATGCCCGTCTCGCCTTGGTTCTACACCAACCTGCCCGGGTATGACAAGAACTGGGTATGGAGAGGCGACAATCTCTGGTATGACCGTTGGCTGCAGGTGTGGCATGTCAAGCCGGAGTTCGTCCAGATCATTTCGTGGAACGACTACGGAGAGTCGCACTACATCGGGCCCCTGGACGACCGCCAATACGAAGCCTTTGACATCGGCAGGGCTCCTTACAACTATGCCGAGGTGAGAGCTTTTTGAGTCTAGTCTGGTCCGAAGACTAACGCGCTGGACGTGGATAGAACATGCCCCACGACGGGTGGCGCGTTCACTTGCCCTTCATGATTGACACATACAAGAACCTCAACCCCTCGGTCGGAACCGAGAGCATGGTGGCATGGTTTCGCAAAAGTTATCACGAGGCTTGCGGGGATGGGAGAACCACAGGCAACACGGCGAGCCAGCTGCAGTTCGAGTACAAACCCTCCGAGGTTCTCGGGCTGGACCGCCTCTTCGTTGCCGCCCTCCTAGAGAAGGAGGACGGCACTGCTCGCGCCGTCCGAGTCACGGCGGTGGGTGGCGGCACGCCCATAACGTGGTTTACATGGGACTACACCCCTCCTGACGACGTCGGCATCTGGCAGATGAGCATACCGTTCCATGAGAGCTGGTTGGATCGACCGCTCAAGATTGAGCTCGTACGCTGGACCCCGGAGAATTCGCCTCCCCATATTACAATTCAGGTCGATGGTCTCAGCAATACTTGCCAATTTGGCCTCACCAACTGGAACCCGATCGCGGTGTCCGGCATGTCCAACGAAGGGAGCAAGCAAGGGACAGCTGGGGCGCTGTCGACGTGGCGTTGCCGTGAGGGCTATGCAAGATCCATCGAGGGACATTTCAACGAGCTGTGCCAGTTTAGCTGCAAACTCGGCTATGTGAGTCTGCTCATCCATCCCCTGCCAGCTCCCTAACACGCGAGACGGACCAGAGCTGACTGTCCCTGTCCCACACCAAAACAGTGTCCTCTAGGCGCGTGCGTTTGCACATCCATGGGCCTCAGCAATGTGACGGAGAGCCCGATCATTGGCCAGCTGCAAGACGGGTACCCGGCCAACGGGGACGCCAACTACGCCGGCCTCTGCAGCTTCGCCTGCGGGAAAGGCTTCTGTCCGCCCCACGCGTGCTCGACGGCGCCTCAGCCGCAATACATTCCCGACAACTCGCCCTTCTCCAACATTGCCTGCACCGCGGGACACTCGCACGACCAGTTCGCGGGGCTGTGCTCGTATGCGTGCGCCTATGGCTTCTGTCCCATGCACGTCTGCGCCTGCCACAGGACGGGCTACCTGGTTGTCCCCCCAGCCCCTACCGGCCCGGCCGGCGTCAACACCAACGGCCAAGTCGACGACGCTGGCCTTTGCAATTTTGCCTGCGCCCGGGGCTACTGTCCTGAGCCGTGCGCTTACGACGTCGATGTCGTGTTCGAAAACGTGTTCCCCTGTACCGAAATGGAAAAGGCCATGATCCGCGCCGAGTTCGCTTACGCATATGACATGGCCGTGGCCGCGCGGGACAACGTCCAGTTGGGAGGCTTCTATGATCACTTCTTTGCGGCAGAATTGCGGGACCGGTCCGGCTTTGCGAATGACATCAGCCGGGCATTCGGGCGTATGGCGCAGAGTGAGTCATTCCGAACCCAGTCTGTTTCCGCCAAGGTACCTACCCGATAGTGGCTGACTTGAAGAATACCTACGTTACATGCAGTCTTGAGCGGCAACTATGCCAACTACCGGGCCCAGGTTAGATGCGAGCCCACAACGAACGGCTGCAAAAGAGGATGGCTTGCCCACATGAACAGCGAGGACAAGAGGATGAACATTTGCCCCGACTTCTTCAAGCCAGTCGTCAAGGGCAAAGAATCCCCTTTCACCGGGACAGCCATTGCCAACTGCGACAAGGCCGATCTCCGTTACCTGCAGCGATCCAAGGGCTCCATCCTGCTCCACGAGGTCACTCATACGTGGTATGCCATGGGCAGGGCCGAGCGTGCGCGCGGGTAGGTATAGTACCTGGTACCTTTCCTACCTTGGCATACTTATTCGTTGCCGTGTTCTCCCAGGGATGCTAACATGAACGTCGTGTTACAGCACACTTGATTACGCGTACGGGTACAACGGCTGCACCAAGCTGGCTCTCGGGACGTTTGATCGGTCCTGCGTACCCTACGGCCGCAACTCGCCTCTTTGTCCCGATAACGAGGGCAAGGAAAGTGTCTGCAATGCAAGGATGACGGAGAATAACGCCGACACATACTCTTTTGTCGGCACCGGCGTCTACTTCAGCAAGAGATGTGGCCACCTCATTCCCTTCCCAGAGTCCGAGGCCGTCGGCAGCACATCCAAGACTACTTGCCCCATCGCCGACTACATCGTCTTTGACGGCGACGAGACTCAGACGGGCTCCGGTATTGCGGGCTACGTCCACTTTGGCGACTCGTACGCCAGCGGCATGGGGACCGGTACGACCACCTCAGACAGCTGCCGCATCGGCTCGAGCAACTACGGCGACCTGCTCAACCGGTACCTCAACGAGTCGTCCATTGCCTACAACGGCCCGTCGTCGTGCTCGGGCGACACGATCAAGGATCTCATCAACCGCATCCAGGCGTGGTCCAACCCCGCCGACACGACCTTGGCCACGCTGACCATTGGCGGGAACGATGTGGGATTCGGGGATTTGGTCTGGGACTGCGTCCTTACTCCATTCATTACCAGTCAGCCACAAGGCGCTGACACCTACAGGCAAAAGTGCGGTAAGCAGACCTTACCGACCTGACTTCACCTCACCTTGCCCCCCAGTGCCCCCTGCCAGACCTTCAACACTTGACATTGACTTCAGCATGCTAATTTGTCTCTTCAACCGTTCCAGTCAATAACGAACAGAGAGCCATCGCCTACATGGACGACAGGACCATAGATGGCCTCGCTGCAAAGTTGGCTGATGTGTACCTCCGGATCCTGAACAAGGGCTATGATGCCCGCGGCAGAGCCGAGCGTAAGTTGGCCTCCACCATTGCACGTAGCAACGGCTAACCCTTTCTCGCCGCAGTCGACTTGTATGTGGCAGGCTATCCGGAATTCTTCAACCCCGACACCAGCGACTGCGAACGCACCACCTTCTTCTACTGGTCGCCGGCGCACGACCCTTGGACCACAGCCCCGCGACTCACCAAGGAGCTGAGGACCGAGCTGAACGACCTCGTCCACAGGCTCAACACTGTCATCCAGAACGCCGTGGAGGCTGCCAACGATGCGTGGGGTGGAACCAAGGTTCACGTACGTCATCCGACTCTTCCCCTTCTCTTCTTACATGTGGTCATGCAGGGGGACTAACAACCCTGAAACCAGTATGTCGACCTCACGCAACGCTTTCGCGCCTCCCCCGACCACCGGTGGTGCTCGTCCGACAGCGTGCACGAGCCCGACGAAGGACGACGGGACACGTGGTTCGGCGAGGCGGCCGAGCTGCAAGCCATCATCGACCGGGGCCACATCCCGCTTCCCGACGAGACCGCCTGCGCCACGGCCGGTGCGGGTTCCGACCCCTGGCTCGTGTGGATGTGCAGGGTGGCCGACGACATCCGGGCCAACCCGGCCGGCAACATGTCGGCCGTCTACGCGTCGGCGAACCAGGCCCTTTCCAACGGCGACGTCGGGGCTACCGACATCGGGTGGTTCACCCCGACGCGACAGGCCAAGACGTTCCATCCCCGCACTCCGGGCATGTATGCCTACAGGGACGCTGTCATTGAGCAGATGCAGGCCATGGGCCAGATATAGCCTGGCTTTGGTTTATTTCTGTTGCCGACCTTGCCAGTAACCCTTCCATGTGTGTGTACTGTTAGTCATTCAAAACTTATAGTTGTAGATAGCAAGTGATAGAACAACCCTCAAACAGTCGTGCTGTTTGAGTACCTGTACCTAGATTCTCAGGGGTGCCCTACGGGCAAGGAAGGGGGCGAGCACCCACACCCGCAACTTCCGCATGTCCATGTCATCGATGGGTAATAAGAACTGTATGTGTAACCCGATGGCGTCTGCGGCACCATGGCGGGTTCAGGTTCTGTCGCCGGGGTAGTGCTAACCCGGGCTGACGACACCGCCACGGTTCAGCGCCAGAGTCTCCAAGGTTGCACAGCCGGGCAGTGCCATGGAAGCGCTCCTTGAACATCCCATCGCCCCATTTTTTCCTGAGCCAGTAAGCCGTAAGTCAGTTCTTTGGTGACAGAAATATGGACATGCCCTCCTCGTCTCGAAGTGATACTGACCTCCACTTGTCGAAGCGTTGGCCACGGTAGGAGTTTTGCAACTCGGGTTTGCTAGCGAGGTAGATGGCGGTGACGGTGGGGATTGTGCCTAGGTGAAGCCATCCTTCCTCGAACATCCGCTTGTCTGGTAGTTCCGTCACACGATTAGTAGTTGCGCATACAACTAACTGGAAGAACCTGGAAATTCCGGTCGTTCGTCATTGATGTACTTACACCTTTAGTACTCGGGATGTTCCTCCTTCAGCCTCCACATACGCTAAAAGGCAATGGAGTGAGTTTCAAATCTTTCTCTGTGACAAGAAGGGCTCTGGACTGACCGGCGGCATTGCAGCGGTGCGACCGGGAAGCGGGACAAGGACAACAGCGAAGTGGGTATGTAACGTACCATGGCAGGAGGGGGTTGCTACTAGAAGCAGCGCTCTCAACAACGCAAATCAACTCAAACTAACCCCTCTATTTGCGTCGATTTGCCACAGTTGCGGTGTATTCGCGTTGATTTGCGTGTATTATTATTCCTACACCGCTGTGCCCTTGGGCTTGCCGGACCTTCAACAACTTACTATACAGGAAAACCGCGCCCTCGTGGGCCGGGTGAAAAACCCATATCGACAATCAAGGAAACGATCAGTGTGCGATCCTGCAAATACAAAGTGGGAAGGC